TTTTATGGATAATGTCCCCAACTCTGCATTGCACCCAAGGAGCTTGTGTCCAAAGAACAGTTTAGTGTTGGAGTACATCTCGGCAGCTGTGAAAAGACAACTACATGTAGAGGGGTTTTCTGTAACCACAAAAAATATTTCCAAGAGATCCCTAAATCATAGGGATTTTTGCCATTACAGCAAATAATTCGCTGTGTTTCATGAGGGCCAGCAGGCAGGGCACACTGGGACTGGTCAGCTATGGTATAAACTACTTGAAAAATGCAAGGAGTCCTGCAAGGATTTTTTTCTTCCCCACAATGACCTAAGTCATTGACTGCTTTCCACCATCACTCCACAGCAGTTCAGGATGGGATGAGGTGCCTGCAGTCAGTGGGGAATTTGCATAAATTTGGTCTAGTCTGATTAGCCTTAGAGCTCCAATTTTCTATTTGTCTCTGTACAATCAGGGGTTATGGAAAATGCCACAACCAAGACTGAGGAGGTGTCTCCTGCTTAGCTGGGAAACAGCACAGGTTTTCCTCTGCTAGTTCAGGTTTGCACTTTCTGAGATCTGGGTAAGGGAGCTCAGGGCTCAAAGTCTTCTAGTCACGGGGCAAACCCTAAATCCCCAGCCAAAAGTGTGTTATAAGAATTTGCAAACAGAAGAGACAACCTACCTGTCAGCAGCTCTTTGTTTAAGTTTGCTCTGTCCACAGAGAGAATGTACTGCAAGGCAAACAAACAGGCAGTTCAGAAAGCTTTGCTGAAGGACATTCTGCATGGCCAGGCAGGAAACCCTCCCTTCCAAACCCCCTTCCCTCATTCTCTCCAGCCTCCCCCACATCCATGAGCCCCACACTGTCCATGACACAGAGATGTTAACAAAATGCTAACAAAGACCTCATGTGCTCTGCAAATCAACTCCAGTACCTGGTCCTTCTTCCCATAAGGGATGGAGTATTTTTTCCCTGAAGGTGTGTGTATCCTCCTTGCCCTCATGGGGATGCCTTTGGCCACAATCTGAAACAGAAGGGAACACAACCCACATTTCTGGCCAAAACTGTGGGTTTTTTGTGAGTTACCAAGCATCATCCCCTCCCCCAAGTACTGCACTTGAGGGAGAATGGAGGGTTCTTTGCTCACACATTTCCAAACCACCAGGGAAAACTTTATCAGGGCTGTCATGTCATTTACTGAGATTACTTACAAGCTCACGCTCATAAAAACCAAAGGGAAATTGTTTTTGGACAAAAAGGAGATGAAAAATCCCAGAGTGCTGGACAGGGCAGGGGATGAGAGCCAAATTACACCCTGGGACTGAGATGTGTGTTGTCAAAGCCTGGGCTCCTCTGCAGGGATCCAGGGACTAGGAGATCCTGCCACTGCCAGCAGCTGGATGTTAAATGGCAGCCAGTACCCTGCAGAAGAATGCTGGGCTCCCAGCCAAGCATGCTGGGCAGAAAGCAGTGTGGATGGATTTCAGGGGTCAGCCCAAAGATCAAGGTTTTCTGGGAAAATACAAATCTGGACATGCCAGTGGGACAAACAGCTGCCTTTATTGCATCCTGCTTTATTGCATCAGCTCTTTTGGGAGTCCATCTCCTCCTGCCCTGTTTGCCCTCTGCTCCAGGAGGGAGGGGAGCCTGGCAGGGAGGTAAACACTGGAAGGTGCTTGGTGTCCCAGGGAAGCAGCCACTGCCAGCAGCAGAGCCCAGCTGCCCGGGGTGGGGAGGATCCTGCTGGCAGATGTGCTGGGAGGCAGGGGAGAGCCAGACTGCAGGCATGCAGAGGAAGAGGTCTGGCTGGGACAAGAAAGGACAGGGCACAGAGAGCAACAGAATGTGCCAGAGTACCTGCTCCTCCATCCCCACAGCTCGCAGGGCTTGGCGTCCCCTGTGAGACAGGGCCAGGTTGATGCTTCTGCCACGGGCAAAGCTGGCCACTCGGATATCTGCAAGGGACAGCAGTGCATTCTGGAGGCAATGGCAGCACAGCCTGCTGAGGGAACATCTCCCAAGCCCCCTGCAGCAACAGCAGGTAGGGTAGGGGGGAGTCCAGCCTGGACCCTCCGTGCTGCCTCTAGCCTGGGAGAAGCAGCTGCAGCCAAGTGCTGCCAAGGGAATGCTGGATTCTGGCAGCACCCCACGTGCCAGAGGGTCTGTTAACATTAACAGCCATTTCCCCCTCTAAATGGAGAAGGCTGAGCCATGAATGCCTGGCAAGTTCTGCTGAGGCCCACAAACTGATGCTTTTTGGGACATTGGCAGGTCACCTTCTTCATGGCTGACCGGATGGAAATGTCTGGGCATTGGCCTGCTCCTCCTCTGAGTTGCCTCATTTAGACTTCCTGGGTTGTCTGGCCAGTGCATGGGGCAGAGCCTCCTCATCCCAACATGTGCATCAGTGTAAGCAATGGGCCAAAAACTGGAGTAGTGCAGTTGGATCCATCCAGCTCAGAAGGCAAGTGAGAGCAATCAGAGGCTTTTTGAAGCTGCAGAACTTCTGGCAACATTAAACTGTGTAGCAGAACTGCCTGCTCTGATCAGGGCAGGAAGAGCTACCACAGAGTGTCAGGCATGGCTCCTCCCTGCCTTCACTGCACACTTGAGTTATTTCCATGGAATCATTCCCACCTGCCACTTGGCTTGCCATCTCTGCCCAGGTCTTTTTTGTCTGCCAGCTGACAGATACTGAAGATGAACAATTTCTCTGCCTTTGAGCTAGTGTCTTGGCTCTAAATCCTAATTCCTCTTTTGTTGGTACCTTGTGGACCTGGAAGCTCCATCTCTTCTTCTGACCCAACACTGTACTATAATCCTTTCTGCAGAGACCAGGCTTCAAAGATGAGGATTTGAATCAGTGTTTAAGCCAAGAATATAAAAAGGGCATCATTTTAGCAGCTAAAGAGTGGGTTCTTTCCACACAAGATGAACTTCAAATAAATGCTCCTCCCCACCACAGGAGCGAAAAGGGAGAGAGAAAATAATATCCCCAAACTGCCACTCTCAGCTTTCATTATTTTCTTACAGTTTCAGTAGCTCACACAGTAATGATCAGGCTGACCTTACCTTCTCTGGCTTCATAAACGTCAACATGGAAACCTCGTCTAGCAAAGAAACAGGCATTTAATGCACCCACCTACAAGACAAGGATCAGGAGTGGCGGATGAAGTATCTCAGAGGTCACTGCTGAGATGCATCAAAGGAAAGAAGTGATCAAGGGATGCAGCTCAGCATAAACACGGAGGTTCTTTGACCAAGAACCTTAGAAGATTTTTTACTGAAGAGCAGTCCTCTGGCAGCCCTGTGTGTTTGCTGAGACCCCAAGAAAAAAGCCACCCATCAAAACTCTTTTTATAAAGTCATACCAAGCTCAGGCTTGTTTACACACAGCAACTGAATGCAGCAGGGCTCACCTCTACAGCCAGAGACAGCAGGAGCTGGTGTAGGCAAACTCCCAGCTCCCCTCTGGACTGTGTTTACCTTCACTAATCCACGGTGTAGCAGCATTCCCTTGGGAACACAGTGAGGGAGAACACTACAATATGTCCTGTTTGTAATTTACATAACTTTTTAAAATTCAGTTTCCATTAGGAATTGTTGTCAGAACTACAGCCTCTTCTGTCATCACTCTTTTCTGAGAAGCTAACGTCCAAAAAGTCGAGAGAGAGGTAGGTGCTGCAATGCCCCAAGCAGTCATAGAATCAGAGACTCATAGAATAGTTTGGGTTGGAAAGGATGCTAAAGACCATCTTGTTACAGCCCCTTGCTGTAACAGGGACACCTTCCACTAGACCAGGTTATTTAGAGCCCCACCCAGCCTGACCTTTAGTGTCACACCTCTCTACAAGTAGCAGTGGATGAAAACCACCCCCAAACAAAACCGGGCAGAGGAAGGTGTTTCCTCTCAGCCTGGCATTTACCACTCTCAGATCTTGCAAAGCATTTCACATTAGAGATTAGGTTACAGCCAGAATCAGCCAAGGGACAGGGGAACCTGGCAGCCCAAACAAGGACTGATGTTTAATGTACCTGGGCACCAGTGCTCCACCCACCACCCAAACCCCTTCACCCAAGAATAGGACAGGAGCCTCCCACAGCAGGAACTCAATCAACCCCTTTGCAACACCCCATCATCTGACAGAGGAAAAACATTCACCCCCACATTCAAGCAGTGTTTTTACAGCCCCAGCTCCCCAGGAAACAATCATGCAGCAGCTAAATGGCATTTCCTACCAGACCACCACCGATAACGGCGACTCTTTTCCCTCGTGGGTCACAGGGCTCCATGCTAGGTCAGCCCCTGGGTCTCAGATCCCTTCTCTGTCTCTGATCCCTCTGCTTCTCCCCAGTCCCACTGCCCTGGCCAGTGGGGAGGGGAAAGGGATGGAATGTGGTTGGCTGAGTCATGCCTGGCTTCTTCTCCCCCGATTCACATTAAAGTTTAACTTCCAGCCCAGAGACTGTCAGGGAGTCAGCCTGGCTGAGCCTGAGGTGTTGAGATGGCAGCATGGTGTTATTCAGTCAGGCTCTGTCCAAAGACCTGTTTTGGAAATTGTAGAGCAATCCGGCAGTCTCCAAGGAATACACACAGAGCAGGAGGAGAACTTGCATCAGCCAGGCTTTTGTTGGTGCTTCACTGGGATGCAACTGCAGAAGCATTGGTGGGACAATGTGGAGCGACTTCTGGAACCTCTCCTGAGGGTGGGTTGTGAGCCACACTACTTGCCCAGGAGCCTCATCCCATCTTTGAGGACATCTTTCATCCAAGGAAGCTGTGTGTGGCTCAGGTATTCTGGGGTGTGATGCTTAGGAGAGAGTCCATGCCTGCTCTGCAAAAGCCTTCCAGGACTTAGATGAGGCTGAGAGGAGACATCTCTGCAGGCATTATTCCACATGCCCATCCCTGGGAGGAAATGCTCTGCTGAGCCAATGCTGCCCACAGTAAGCATTGAAAAGGGAGGAGCCAATTAGAGCCAAATACAATAACTAAACAGCAGACAGTGAAACTGAAGATATTTGTATCACTGAATACAATTTATTGCTTAACCTGCCAGGTCCCAGCAGATTTGTCTCAGAGAATCATTAAGGCAGAAAAAGCCCTCTAAGAACATAGAGTCCCAGCTGTTAACCCAGCACTGCCAAGCACACCACTATGACCCTAAATGCCACATCTTCATGGCTGTCAAAGACCTACAGGGATGGGGCAGGACTCAAGTGCTTCCCCGGGCAGCCTCTTCCAATGTCTGACAATGTTTTCAGTTAAGAGTTTCTTCCTAATATTCAATCCAAACTCCCATGACACTACTTGAGGCCATTTCCTCTTTCAGGTAGTTGTAAAAAGTGAGAACTTGTAGAGAGCAATAAGAATCTCAAAGACAACAGAGCAGAGAGGGCAAAGAGCAAGGTAGGTTTTACATAGTAAATAAATTATTCATTAATTGTTTTTGCAACACAGACAGCACATGATTAGCTTCCAGAAGTGATAGTTAACTATCTTTTCTTCATTACAAACAAAATGTAGGTCCCTGGGTTTTCTTAATCAGACTCACTCACAAACTGCACCAGGCAAACCCAGTACAGATGTTCTCCACTCTAAAAACAGAAAGTGGGAAGATATTGAGAAAGTGCTATAAAATCATTGTTCACCTTTCTATATTAAGCAAAATCAGGCTGCTGAGAGTATGAAAAAGTGTTGCCTGATAAAAACTCTGAGTGAGCCTTTTAAGAAGTCAAAAATAAAACTAAAAAGAACAGGATAACATGGGTGTGGATTAAAGCTTGTCCTCTGGGGAAAAGTAAATGAGGGAAAAGTGCTTGATTTATGTTGCTGAAAAAAAAGACATGTGAATGGCTGAGGAAGAACAGCAGGATTTGTTGGTTTTAGAAAGGCTATGGTCCACTTGCAGAGGATCCTGTACTGTCAGTATGTGGGCCACCTGCAACAAGAAAAACGGGGTTATTTTGTTTAGTAACAGCCAGTAGTGCTCCAGCTGCAAAAAGATGTGTTTAGTCTCATACCTTGTGGTGGCAGGCAGCTGAAAAAGAGGAAGAACAAAGTTTAAAGGCCATGACAAGACCTACTGATTTCTGCAGTGAATTGCACTGACCCTGACAGGAGCCAGGAGTTCTTTGCTGGTTTAGATTACAAACCCATGTCAAGGGGAAATAGGTAGAAATGTTCATCCCTTATAATCCCATTAGGGAAATAATCTGTTCAGGAATTCAAATCCTCTGCTAAAGAGGGCTGTACAGATACCCCTGCCAGCGGGTCACCCATGCCCAAGGCTGCAGCTGCCTCCATCCTGTTCTGTTCACTAAGGCTCTGAAAGAGCCATGGCCCAGAAATAAAGGTTGAGTTCTCACAGCGTGTCCCCATGTTACCCCTCCATCCATGCTCTAGCAAGGTGCATTTCTTCACCAGCCTTGGCATGCAAGAACTTCCTAGCACCTAGGAAGCCAAGCAGGACAAGCTCAGAGGAAGGCACAAAGCAAGTGAGCCCCTGGAGGAGCTGGCTGTGACCTCTGCACAGGGCTCAAGGGCTCTATGGATTTGGGAGCATCCTGTGGAGAAGTTCATCCATTTCTGCACTGGTAACCCACCCCTTTCAACTGCAAGCACAAGCTTATGGCAAAGGCTCAGCATTTTCTCTGATACTCCCCTCCCTTTGTACCATTTTTCTTAGCTGGTGGTTTTGAATTTTTATTTTCCCAGGAATTTCTGATTCGCAAATGTCCCAGCAGTGCTTTAAGAACATAAACCCTGCTGGAAACCTTAGCCCAAATGTAAAACACTTCCCCATCCCCTCCCCACCCCTGCCTTATTTAGGTTACTGACAAAAAAAAAGGAGGTGGGAGCCCTCGCAGAGCACAGCAATGCAGCATGGCAGGCTGGGGGATCGATGTGATCCTCATCCTTGTCAGATCCCCACGTTTATCCCACAGTCTGCCCTGCCACCCCGCCTGGGCAGGGAGAAAGGGCTGCAAGCACATGTCACAGCTGCCTGCTACTTACGTGGGCTGGGCAGAGCTGGCAGTCCAGTGCTGCTCTGTGGATGTGGGCAGAAAGCTCCTGGGGGGCACTGGGAACACCCCCGAGGGAGGGTAATGGTGGTGGTGGTGCACCACAGGTGCCTTGGGCCTCTCTGCTCTCACAGCCAGGGGAGCAGCAAGCTGCAGGTCCTTGTTGGAGAGAGACAAAGGTGGCTGCAGAAACCTCTGCCCCTCACAGTGGGAGAGGTCCCTAGCTGAGGGCCAGGGTTCCACTCAGCCACCCCTTGGGAAAGAAAGACCTTCGGGATGTGTCTGGAGGAGAGTCTGCAGGTTCCAATACAGAAGGTCCAAGAACACTTCAGATTGTGACTTCAGTCACTTGGTGACTTCAGATTTCACCTGATACTCAGACCCCACTCCCTCCAATTTATTCCATCAGTCAATGTCAGGGAAATGCAGAATAACAGGATGGCCTGGAGAGGAAGGTGGGCATAAGGCCATGCTCTTCCTCTGCCATCTCTCCTAAGGAGCAGTGTCCTCCACAGCCCTCTGGCTCTCCCAGCACTCTGTGTGTTTTACCCAGGCCTGGTGCCCTCCCAGGGAGATGAGCCATTGCCCTCCAGGCTGGGTGTTGTTACCTGCTGTGTGTGCTGGAGTGGGCCAGAGCTGGCCCCCCCAAGCTGTGTGAGCAGCATCGGCGGCAGAGCCTTCAGCATCATGTTCTGCATCATGATCTGGTGCATCTGAGCATTCTGCATCAGCATCATCTCCACCATATCTGGGAAGAGAAGAAAAGAATCAGAGCTTTATCCACAACTGACAAGCAGCAGAGGCATCGTGGGAAGGAGTATCCTCCAGCACACAGATTGGTCACTGCAGCAAAGGCAAAGCAGCTGAAAGGGGGCACATTGTCCTGAGTTGTAAGATGTGTGTCTATTCTATTTACCATCTATTAGGAGTAGGGCAGTTATCTTCTGTTAACTGGGCAGTTTTCTTTATCTCTTCCACAAGCAATCCTGCCTCCAGAGAGATATCTTCTATTAATAGGCTGCTGAGTGTCACTGCATGACTGATAAAATTACATCATCCCATTGTAAAATGCTCCACCCAGAAAGAAGAGCCAAACATTCCTACCTAAATATAATCTGAGACTTAAAACAACAGAGACAACCTTTTCCCGCTAAATTCCCAAAAGAACAACTGTCTTCTCCACTGGATTCCCAGAAAAAGACCATCTACACCACCACCAGACCTTCAAAAAAAACCTACACCCTTCTACAAAACCACTGCTTTAACAAAACCACATCTGCCACTCCAAGAAAACTACAGCCACCATTTAATCAAAACTGCTACCAACATCCTAACCAACAGTGTCAAGTTGTATTCTACCTCTGTCACTAGTTTATTTTCTAGTTTTTTGTACTATTGCATTTGTATTTTTTTAAATTTTACTAGTAAAAAACTGTTATTCCTATTCCTATATCTTAACCTGAAAACCCCTTAATTTAAAAATATATAATAATTCAGAGAGAAAGAGTTCACATTTTCCTTTTCAAAGAAGGCTCCTGTTTTCCTTGATAGACACCTGTCTTTTCAAACCAAGACACACATGAAGAATATTATCATTATTTCCCCAGACAGCGCAAAGTTAATGATGTCTGTGAGTGAGGTTGTTCATGCCAGCTTTCCTGTTTCTCCTCCCTCCTACAAGAAAGCTGCTGCCGAGGACCTATTCTGCTGCTTGCCCTGCAAGCCCACACCCCTGCCTGTGCTGAATGGCAGGATGGAGAAGAGCTGAGCTGCAGCTTTCCCTTGCTCCAGCAAGGACAGGCTCCTGGCTGTGCTCTCCATTGCTTCAGCCCCGGATCATTGCTTTCCTGTCAGAGGTTTCCTCACATTTATGTGATATTGCAGTGCCACCTTGAGTGAGAGTCCACTGACTCACAGAATTGTAAAGGTTGGAAAAGACCTTTAACATCATCAAGTCCAACCCTCAATCTGTCATTTCATGCACACAAATCTCCTTACATGATCTCTGGGATCCAAAGGACTTGTGCAGTGTAACTAATTTGCTTGGGGAGAAGTGAAGAGGGAGAGGTGAGAAAAAAAGAAGGGGGAAAAAAATGAAGGCAAGTCTCATTTTCCTTTTTACTGATTATAAAAAAAGTAGTTTTCATGTAGCAGCTTCAGAGAAGTCATGAGTGGCTCGGGACTATTTTGCTTATGGAAATAAACTCTGATTCAAAAATCCAGAAACTTAGATGAAGTATGAGCTGAAAAATACTGCAGTTTCATGACTGAGGATTCCTGGGTGGGATGAACCTTTGGCTGAAAGCTGAGCCAGGGAAATTGTCCCAGGTTTTAGTTCATGTATTATTTCACAGTAGCACCCACCTATGTTTAGAAATAAACTTTTTTCTTGGCATTGCACTATATTTAGAACAACACTTTCAGATATTCTGTCTTGTTTCCAAATACAGGGTACAAACAAAAGCCTGAGGAAATTGAACAGCAGGTTAGGAAAGAACAAAAGAATAAAACCACATTTTAGAAGCCTCTTTGGTAATTCTGGAATCATCCATGTGCATGACTTTGACTTTATTAATATTACTCAGTGCCATGAGTTGAGCTGTTTTGCTGTCCCAATCTTCCCTTGAGTTTGTAGTTCCTTTTTCTTTAGTTTTAGCGATAAGAGTTTCACAACTGGTACCCATCTCATTTATGAAGCACAAGTCCCCAAGCTCCACCAGCTCATTAAACAGCACATCACTAACGAGCTTGGACACCATCCCATGTCCCCTTTCAGTTGCCACAGCACCTGCCCTGCCCTCTCCAGGCCTGGTGGCAGGAGCTGGCTGCTGTGTGGAGAGTTTGTTACCTTCTTTAATGCTCCCAGAGCGGGGGGCTGCAAAGGGCTGGGCTGGGGGAATCTGTGTGATCAGAGGGGAGGGCTGAGGCAGCTGCTGGATGATGGTGGCAGGCTGAGTTGGCATCTGGAACAGGAAGGAAAATGGAGAAGTCAGGGTTGGTTTTGGCCAGCTCTCCCAGCTATGAGAATAGCTGTCATCTGCCTAGGCTTCGGGAAAACTCTGGGATTCTCGTGGAGAAGCTGTTGAGGCTGTGAGCAAACAGTGATGTGCATTAGAAAGTAGCTGAATGGTCAGGCTGGAGTGTGCCAGTTTGCCACTCCTTTTGCCATCTTGTTCCATTCCCATTGTTAATTCTGGGCCTTATTTGCAAGATGATTTTCCGTTAGGATTCGCTGCAGGCAGCAAGGATCCCATAAAAGAGCAAGAGGCATATTTTCCCTTTTTCTGTGATGAGCAATTCCATACAGCTCCCAAATGATTGTCAGCTCAGACAGGCACAGTGCTGGTGGTGTTTTCTAGGAGACAATCCTTACGGTCTGCTGGATAATCCTTGGTGGCTCTCCTTGGGAAGCTGGAAAAGGGATCTGGTAGATTTGTGGGAGGGCAGCTCTGTGGTCATGGCAGTGTCCCCCATCTGTTGCAGGTGGCTGTGAAAGCTCTTCCAGGAGGTGCTGCTCCTGTAAAGTTAAGTATTTTCTTAAAGAAAATCTGGTCACAGCAAGGCAGACAATATGGTTATGTTCTTTGGACTGCATGGGATTAGCCCCTGGGAAACTGCAGCAAGGGCACTGCCAGTGCCTGCATAAGTGCAAAGTTTTCCTTTCCATAGATCTTGAAGCATAAGAGAAAAGTATTGGGGAAAAAAAATAATGTGCAGAACAAGCTGCTGAACGTCTGGGAAAACATTTCAATAATAGTTGGTATCCTCCACAAACTAGGAATAAATAACAATTATTATTGTCTCTACTTTGGCATTGCTAACAATCCCTTCTTTGCATTTTGGCACAGAAAGTTTATGAGACAGCAGCTCAGGACAAACAGATTCATCCCACTTTAGTGCCTGAAGCAGGTGCAAGCTCACACAGCTGTAGTGAGGGAAGCCAAGCTGCTCCCCAGGCTCTTTCCCTGATTAGTTGGCCCAGCCTTTATATTCCAAAGCAGCAGAGCACTAAATCCTGCCCAGCCCCAGAACTAAAGGCCAGGAAAACACTGAACCCACATCAGCAGACAGAGAGGGCTCTTACCCTAAGCTCCTGCAGCAGATCTTTCCTTTGCCTCAGGGCACTTTGGAGAATGTCCTGGGGTCTGTTCCCTGGAAGAGGAAGAGACCATTATCTTCTCAAAGGATCACAAAGACAGAGCTATTAAAGCACCTGTGTTATGATATTAATGTGGAAAATGTGTTATTAGATAGCTTGATGTTGCATATGGGTAAAACCTTACAAAATAATGGTCTTGCTACCTTTTTAAAATCATTGCTCAGGCCTCCTACTTTGGCTAAGCAGAAAAGGATGGTGGGAAAGTGACTCAACTGAATTAGAGGTAGAAAAAGAAGTTATATAACCATGATGTGCTCCCATCGTGGGGTGTGTTGGTTGGTTGGGTTATGTTTGATAGAATTTAAAACTATGTTACTGGCAAAGGCCTAACTTCTCAAAAAGGCCTGGTTTTTGCAATAAAGAGGCTCTCCTTCACACCTGCCTGGGGACTCTGTGTCACTCTGCTTCAACAGCTTGAGTTCTTCCACAAAAGAACTTATCTTGTCAAACACGTGTGGATAATGACTTTATGCCATGTGCAGTCACAGCTGCTCAGCAGCTCTACAAACGCAAAACACCTCTGAAAATAAACTCTTAAGATTTCTTTCTAAAGCCCCCTTTTAACCTCCTGATTTAGGAATCCCTTTCAGGCTGAAAGTTTCTAGATGTGCCCAGTGCATGCAGAGGATGCCTGTTTGTAGTAACAGCTCCAACAAGATCTGGTTTGAATGTCAACTGTTCTGTTCCTATTTTATTCTAAATCAACTTTCTTTTCAGTTCATCCCACACATGGTTGATTTTGACATGAAGATAAGCAAGAATGGAGCCATGCCTGGCATCTGCTCTGGAAAGCACCATTCTGTATTTTGAAACTGCAAGTTATTATGGGGGATTTTTTAAAAATGTTTGGCCACAGCATTAGAAGATTCCTACTATTTGTGCATCAGATCAATGAATAGGAGCCCACAGTACAGTCTAGAAATATCACTGAGCTTCTACTATTAGCATTGAATCCATAGATAATATAAACAGTACATGTGTCATGCAAAGAAATGTTCCTCCTGCCTTTTCAGGATCACCAAAGCCAAGAAAACAGCCAGACTACAACAGGGTGCACTCCTAGGTGTAAGAGCTAGGACAAACTGGATCAGCATCAGTTTGCTCCAGCTGAGAGGCTGCACAGGATACCTGGGCAGGAGGTAGGAAGGAAGTCATCTTATGTTAGTGCTCAGCTGGTTGTTCACTTCCCTTTGTCAGGAAAAAAATAGATTAAGAAATTCAAAAGATAAAAAGCAGTTAGCTCAGAGCTGTTAGGGAGGAGAGGGGATCATCTCCTGAGGAATTCATGCCTGAGAACACAAGCAAGCCCTTTCCAAAATATACCTAAAATTAGAACAAATGCTTCTCTTACTTGCAGCTGGGAGAGAAAAGTCCATCTTCCTTAGGTTCTCCTGTTCATTTTCTAGTCTCTGTTGGCAGAACCATAATTGGTTATAAGTCAGGCAGGAAAGCTCACAATGATTCCCAAGCCTATGGCACAGGTTTGGGATGGAGGAAATAGAGCAGAAGTGGAGAAAAAATGGTGGTTCTTAAAGAAGTATGGAATGTCTCATTACAAATATAGTTACAATAAAGAATAGTGATGCTTCCAACTGTCCAAGCAATTCCAGAGCTTAAAACTGATAGCCTGGTGAATCAGCAGACATAATCAATTTTGTAGGCAGAGAGCTGCATCATATGAAGAACTTGATAATGTTGAGTTTGGGCTTGCCTGATAGTCCAAGATCTGGACTCTTGAATCACCAAGGGTCTGACCAGGCAATACATCTTATATGAAGGCAGACATTAAATTGCCTTAAAACAATCTGAGATTCTCTTTACCCAAGATTTACTCCTAAACTTTGACTGTCCCAGCTCAAACTAGCTTTGAGCTAACTAGTTTTGGGTTACATCTCCCAAAAAATCAAAGTCAATTTTATTCACTGTAGATTCATGAAGATTTGTACAATATATTTAAGAAAGTGACAGTAAGTAGTAGCACTCCTCAGTGTATCTCATTAAAGTTATACTATTTTAAAATACAGTGTTAATGCTTCAACATGCAAGAGCAAAAAGCAGAGCAAAGGTGACCCATGCAGAATTATTCCCCTACCTTTTCTAGGAGTTTGAGTTTCAGTCGTGTCAGGTGATCCACCACTGAAGGATCTGCCATTATCTTCTGGAAGAGTAGGCAGGCAAAAGCAGGTTGAAAAGCTAAACAGAGGCAGATAGGCTTTCAGTGCCCATTTTTTTCCCCCTCCACAGTTTTCACAGAATAATACCATTATTAAAAAACAGTAATACAAGATGAGGAGAGATTGAGAGAAGCAGATAAAAGCTTCAGTTTCACTCCGAGGTCAGAACGAGAACAGGCATTCATAAGTTCACAGACACAGCTTTTTCCTGCCATTTCTCTCAACATACTTTTGTGCTGCAGGTTGTGATGTTCACAGGAAGGCAACTGAGACTGAATATTTATTTATTTGTCTCTTCCTAATGGTTGCTATCCTTCCCCTGGCAGCATCACTAAGCCTGGCCTCTGTGTTGTTAGAGACTTTTAATTAGCTCAGAGGTTTGTGCCTGTAACCTGGTTGCTAAGTTTATAGTGTCAACAGGTAACATAAACAATTTAATCTCCAAGCACAGAAGCTTGTGTACCTTTGGTAAAGCAAATGCCTGGCACATTAATGGACAAGAAAAAAAGAAGTAAAAGCCAATGGTTCTTTGAAACAAGCCCAGTGCCAGCAGTCAGATTATGATCTTGCTGATTGGTACCTGTTTATTCCCCTACAGGGGGTCTGCACACTTTTGACATAGCTCTTTACGTGAGTTATTACCACACAGTGACTGAAAAAATTAAGGAGCATAGCTGGAACTCTCCCCTGGCTAAGTCCAAGAGTGAAGGGGATATGGTGTAACATCTCCCAAGAAACCTGTAGAATGTCTCCCTCTCCCAGCAAAGCCCTACCAGCATAAAAACAGGGTCACATTTATCAGTGACATCCATAAAATGCACACCAAGCCAAGAGAAAAAAAGCCAAGGAACAGATACACCTTCTCAGTAGAGACAAGTTACAACCAAGTTACAATCCTCTGCTCCCAGGAGAGACAAGTTACAAGCCTTTCCTCCCTCAAAGGACACAACAAAACTGCAGCAGAGGCACTGCTGGCAGCTGGAGCAGCTCAGAGATGCTCCTGAGCTGTGTGAGAGCAGTACAGATGACCTGCCCCAGCTGTGACCCACGCAGCCCATCCCTAAAAACACACAGGCTGGAAGGTGCTGGAGAAATTAGGGCAACTAAGGGGCAGGGATCCCTAAAACAGCTGTGCTGTGTCAGAGCTGGGGTTCAGCTCTCCCTGGCAATGCTTTGTGGTGAATGGCAGGAGCAATGAGCCAGAACAGAAAATCCTCTCACCTGCCTGCAGCTCTCCTGGGAAACAACTCCGAGTCCAATTCTCTACTTGAAAACACCAAACAGAATTTTCTGTAACATCTTTGACTTCTTCATATGAGCAGCTGCAGCTCAGACAAGTTCCTAACTTCTAAGTTCCTAACTTATAACTCCATAACTCCATAACTAGGAGTTTCCTAGTGATGCATCAGCATAGCTTGTTTCTGTGCTGGGAAAGAAACCCACCACTTTTGGACTGCTGGTGAATATTGAGCTGGTTATTTTATCAACAACTGGTATACTACAGTGCTCCTAAAAGCTGAATTTCTAGACTTCACTGTAGTATGAATAGAGGGTTACAAGAGAGCTTGACGAAAAGAAACAGGTATGAGTATTGCATTAAAAGTACAGCACCAGTGTAAGCAACTGAATTTCCTAAAGAGGAAATGAAGATAAATTTTTGCTTGATGTAACAGATAACCCAGAGAAAATCTAATACTAGGGGGTGGGGAAATTAATTTTTTTTTAAATGGCACTTTCTAGCAAACCTGCTGAAGGAGCTATCTCTTCCCACACTTATGGATGCCTTGGTCACAGTGTGATCCTTACCCTTGGGACATCTTACAACCTGCTCATTAATTGGGTGCCAGGAATGTGCCAGCCACACACAAAATCTTGCTGGAAGGGATCTGTAGCTACACTGAATCCCAAACAAGGAATCACACTTGAGAATGAGGATTCAAAAGAGCAAAACCAGGCAAATTTAATCCTACAGAAGAATAACAGGTGTGTTACATGCACCTCACAGGACATCATTATTCTGCTCTATTTAGCAGTGCTGAAGTCAGAGTTTGGACACTGCACTTAGTTTTAGACATGGTGGTTCAAGAGGGAAAGAAAGTCCAGGAAAAAAAAATAATAAAAAGGTTCTATTTACCAAATGTATGTTCCAAGGAAGACTTTAAATAACTGGCTTTGTTCAGTTAGTAAGTAGATGGTGAAAAGAGGACAGGCCAGCAGTTTTTAAATAAATGAGAGGATACGATCAAAGAGTGGGTGAAGGGCGGGGGTTGTATCTGGAAAAACACAAGTATTTGGCTTAATGAGGAAGAGAAAAACTGATAAAACCAGGGAAAGAAATCTTCATTAGCCACTAAGGGAAATGATGAAGCAGCTCTCAAAAAAAAACCCCCAACTTTCACAGAAGTTGTTTACAAACAATTAAAAAAACAAATGTGTCGAACATTGCAGGATTCCTCAGATATAAGAATGGATTAGATAACCTGATGAGGTCCATACCAGTATTGCATTTCTTTGATGTCTTGTATTGATTTTGATATTTTATACCTTAATTTTAATTTCTATGAGTTCTGAAAGACAATTTAAAAAGATGTTATGGTAACAACCAAGATGATTAGAGGGGTGGAGCAGCTCTGCTTTGAGGAAAGGCTGAGAGAATTGGGATTGATCAGCCTGAAAAAGAGATTTTGGGGTGACCTAATTGCGGCCTTCCAGTATCTGAAGGGAGCCTACAAGAAGGATGGAGAGAGATAATTTACAGGGGCCTGGAGTGGCAGGACAAGGGGAAATGACTTCCCACTGACAGAGAGTAGGTTTAGATTGGATATTAGGAAAAAATTAATTTCTGTGAAGCCCTGGAAACAGGTTGCTCAAACAAATCTGTGGTGCCTGATCCTTGGAGGTGTTCACTGAGACATCTCATCATTCAGACTTTGTCTTTTGGCGTTGCCCTCGAGGCAGATGGGCTTTTTAGTGCTTGCCAATCCAGCACACTGCTCCAAGTAACAGATTTGACTAAAGCCTGTATTTTTATAACTTAATGATTTCAAAACACAAAAAAAGCTACCAGTTTTGTAGCATCAATAAGCAGAGCAAAAGGGAGTTGAAGGTTGGACATCTGGGATCTTAAACATATGGCCCTTCAAGGACGTTGGAGTAACCAGAAGACTCCAGAGGAGATAAAAGCCTGGAAAGTTGGAGACAACTCCATGTCCGAGAAAATGACAATAGAGGGATGAAAGAATGACAACCAAATTAGCACGAAGAGCAAAAAAATCAATTAGTAACACAGGACAGGATACTGATTACTGAAGAGCATCATGCACCTCAGAACCAATGACCATTAATTGATTTCTTCACTGAAAATTTACAAATAAGCGAAAAGGCGGGAAAGGAGCCACCAACCCTCCCTGCGCCATAATGGCAGCCCCAGCCCCGCCTGCATTGGCTGTCCGCGCTCCCCATTGGCTGTGCGCGCTCCCCATTGGCTGTCCGCGCTCCCCCATTGGCCGTCCGCGCTCCCCCATTGGCCGTCCGCGCTCCCCCATTGGCCGTCCGCGCTCCCCCATTGGCCGTCCGCGCTCCCCATTGGCTGTCCGCGCTCCCCCATTGGCTGATTCCCACGCTGGGCGGGGACGGCGCTCCTTTTGAAATGGCGCTGGACGCTCTCATTGGTGGCTGCCGCGGAGGGGGCGGGGCCGGCGGCTGGCGCCGGCTTGCCCGGGGTATCCCAGCAGCCATTTAGCAGGAGTGGGCGGAGCTCGGCCGAGGAAATTCGTCCCCATTGGCCGGCGGCCGCGGTGCGTCGGGAGCTGCGGCCAATGGCTGCGGAGCTCCGCCCCGCGCGGTGCGGCCGGCGCGGCGGCGGCCGGGGGGCGGCCATGACCGAGGCTGCGCTGCCGCCGTGAGGGCGCGGCGGGCGCGAACCGGCCCGGCCGCCGCATGGAGGCGCCGGAGGAGGCGCGGAGGCGCAAGCTGGAGGCAGGCAGGGCTAAGGTGAGGGAAAAGGGTCCCGGTGCGCTGGGAGAGCTGGCAGGCCCTGCGTGTTTCGCTTTACCTGGCCCGGGTCTCGCCCCTCCGTGGCGGGTTTCGCGCCGCACTCGGAGGTGGGTGCGGGGTGCCGGCCCGGCAGTGTCCCCTACAGATCCCTTCCGGCAAGATTCTGTGTGTGGCTGGCACATTCCTGGCCCCCCATTAATGAGCAGTTGTAAGACGTCCCCAGAGGAAGGATCGCGGTGGCTCCGCAGCAGAAGTCGTGCTGCGGGGCCGGCCCGCTGCACCGGCGTGCAAACATTGCCTCGGGCCAACAGAGCAGCTGACAGCAGCGCACCCACCGCCCTTCGGGCTCTGGTTTCCGTGTTTGGTGTTTGTTTCTTCCCAGCTCTCCCGTTTTTGCCCAGGATTCGGTGTTTGTGGGAATGCTGCGTTTCCAGCGGAGGGTCCCAAAGAGCAGTGTTGGTTTATCACTCGGCCGGCTCACTCGCTTGCCTGGTGCCCGCAGGGAGAGCAGAGCGCTGGGCTCCGTTTGTTGGTTTCCAGTCATGCCGGTAGCAAACACTTCATAAGCTTTGAATATTCAGGTGTCTTCACTGGGGTGTAGTTTAGGGACTTGTGTAGCGTTCACAGGATATAAAGATAACACTCTCCAAGTAATTATTACCTGCAATCATGTGTTTAACGCTGGTTGTGTTCTAACCCCGTTAGATAAACACTTCTGCTTTGTTTCGGTAACTATGTTCAAGGAGCTGATTGGAAATGCTTGGTTATTTTCCTTTCAGCTCAGCATTTCTGCTGGGTTTTGAGTTGGTTTTGTCATGTTTCTGTTCTGGCTGTCCCTCTAGCTACAGCCCCCTCCAGTCTAATGGAATGGTGAGAACTAAAAAGCCTTATTTAGCAGGAAGTTGTGACCCATCAGATCTTTCCAGATCCTTTACTTTTTGCAGGGAACCTGTCTGGATACCTGGCTAGTGGGGTCAGAGGTGGCTTGGAGCTGTCCTGTGTGTCTGCTGTGTTTCTGTTTCAGCTGCTTTCCACCAGTGCTGTGCACAAGAAAGTCAAAGAGAGCTTTTGTGGAAGGGAGCAGGGTTGTAGCTGGAGCTGTGCTGAAGCTGCAGCCTGGTGATGAGCAGTAGAGCTCCTCCATCCCTGGCCTGCCCTCCTTGATGCTGCCATGGATTCCACACTGCCTGCTCCTGCTCAATCGTTTCTCATCTGCCTGCCCTCCCAGCCTTGTTATGTGCTGTGAGAACACAATCCTCTGCTGGAGAGCAACTGCTCCAGAGAGAGAGCTCTGAAAGGATTTCTTAAGGTTGAAAGGTTACCTTAGTATGGCACAACCTGTGTTAACATTTCTGTTAACATACATTAATTCCAGGTGCAGGACCTGTTTATGATTAGAAAAATGTGACAGACTTAGCTTGAGTAAGTTATTAGTTCCTACCTGTTGGCAAACTGTTGTTTACCAGTAAAAGAAACAAAAAAAACCAAACAGGGACTTGCC